CAGCTGCACCTTACCAACAACCAACAAGGAGCAGCTGGCCTCAGGGTGCTCTGTGCCTTTGGATGAGTGGCCCCAGTTCTGGTACCAGCGGAAGCACAGCCTCTACCATGAGCCTCCAGGCTCAGCACAGGCAGCTACTGACCACTGATTGCTTTGTAGTTCCTACCAGATGGCACTGGGCCAGTCACAGACAGTGGTTGAAGCTGTCCAGCACCAAGGTTCTTACCAAGAAGATGCAGAACCAGCACCTGATGGCAGGCTTCAGACCACCACAGAGCAACAGGAGATCAAACCCAAAGGATGATCTCAGGAGCAGCTGCCCACCTGGGGCGAATCCTGCTCTGTGGGGTCAGCCCCTGAATGGTAACTGGTATGCTGTGGTCATGGCCAAGCCTCAGAGCCAGTCAGCCTGAGGGCCCATCCTACATTACTGACATGCCAACAGCAACTGAGGCTCAACTATAAAGGTACACCAATTATATAAGCCAGCACTGTCAAGACTGGAGATGTAGCAGACCTACCTAGTACACAGAAATAAAACAGAGGGACAGCCAAAATGAGGAGACAAAGAAACATGTCCTAAATAAAGGAACAGAGGGAAAAAAAAACCTGAATGAAACAGTCGGAAGCAATCTACCAGATGTAGAGTTCAAAACAGTGATGATGAGAATGCTAAACTAAGGGGAAGAATAGGCGAACTCAGTGGAGAATTTCAAAAAAGATATAGTAACATAAAAAGGACATACAGACCATTAAAAGAACTAGTTAAAATAAAGAATACAATGATGGAAATAAAAATATACTAGAAGAAAGCAACAGCAGACTAGAAGAAGCAGAGGATTGAATAAGTGATTTGGAATATAATGTAGCAGAAACCCCTTCAGAATGCAAAACAAACAGACTTTATTTTTTTATTTATTTTTGTTCTAAGTGTTATATACATTTATTTATTTTTTAAATTAATTAATTAATTTTTGTTACAGATGTTTCTCCTTTTTCCCCCACTGATACCCCCTCCCCCCTCCCCACCCTGTCCCCAGCTTTGTTGTCCATGTACAATGTTCATGCATACACGCATATAAGTTCTGTGGTTTATCTCTCCCCCCCACCCTCTCTTCTGGGGATTGTCAGTCTGTACCACATTTCCACATCTCTGGGACTACCTAACTCCTTAGACTGTTATGTTCATTATATTCCACAAATAAGTGAGAGCATGTGACATTTGTCTTTCTCTGCTTGGCTTGTTTCGCTTAGGATAATACTCTCCAGGTCCCTCCATGTCATCTCAAAGGATAAGAGATCTTTCTTTCTTACATCTGCATAGTACTCCATTGTGTATATATACCACAGCTTTTTTATCAATTTGTCTACTGATGGACATTTGGGCTGTTTCCAGATATCAGCTATTGTAAATAGTGCTGCTACGAACATGAGGGTACATATATTCTTTCTGATTGGTGTTTCAGGCTTCTTAGGGTATATTCCTAGAAGTGGTATTACTGGGTCAAATGGCAGTTTACTTTTTAAAAGGTGAGGATATTTTAAGGGACCTTTGGGATGAAATCCAGTTTAATAAAGTGTGCATCATAGGAGTACCAGAAAGAAAAGAGAGAGAACAAGGGATTGAAAACCTATTTAAAGAAATAAAGATGGAAAAAAGGTAATCTGCAAAGAAAGCACATACTAATTTAGGAAGCACACAGTCACAAAGATGAACCTGAAAACATACACAGTAGAACACATCGCAATTAAAATAGCAAAGGTGAATGACAAAGAGATTATCTTAAAAGCAGCAAGAGAAGAGCAGATAGTTACCAACACGGGAGCTCCCATAAGGCTGTCAGCTGATTTCTCAGCAGAATGTTTGCAGACCAGAAGGAAGGTACACAATATTTAAAGTGACAAAAAGCAAGGACCTATAACCAAGGCTACTCTACACAGAAAAACTATAATTTAAAATTGAAAGAGAGATAAAGAGCTTCCAAGAAAATAAAACTTAAATGAGTTCATCACCACCAAACCAGTATTAGAAGAAATGAAAATGCAATTTCTTTAAGAAAAAAAGAAGGGGAAAAAAAGATTTAAAACTATGAATAAAATGGCAATAACTACATACCTATAAATAACTACTTTAAGTGTAAATGGAATAAATGCTTCAATAAAAAAAACACAGTGTAAAGGATTAATAAGAAAAGAAGACTCATACATAAGCTGTCTCCAATAAATCCACTTTACATTGAAAGACACACAGACTGAAAGAAAAAGATGTTTCATGAAAATAAAAAAGAAAGCTCAGGAAACAGTACTTATATCAGACAAAATAGACTTTAAAACAAAGGCTATAACAATACCTAAAGAAGGGCTCCACAATTACACTTCTGGGTATTTATTTGAAGAAACACAAAACGCTAATTTGAAAAGATATATGCGTCCTTACACTACTGCATTATTTACAATAGCCAAGAATAGAAGCAACCTAAGTGTTCACTGATAGATGAATAAATTAAAGATAGTATACACACAATGCAATATGACCGAGACATAAAAAAGAATGAAATCCTGCCATCTGCAACAACAGGGAAGGACCTAGTGAGCATCATGCTAAGTGAGATAAGTCAGACAGAGAAAGACAAGTACCATGTGATTTATTTCTATGTGGTATCTGTATAATAAAATAAAAAAAAATGAACAAAACAGAACGAGTCTTATACACAGAGCGCATTTTGATGGCTGCAGTATGGGAGGGGGTTAGGGGTTAGTTCTGCATAACTTCACAAGGGAATTTTACCAGTCAAAGCAGCATTAACACCTACCTTCAAACAATGCCAAAAAATTCAACAGGAGAAAAGGCTTCAAAATGTATTTTATAAAGCCAGCATTGCCTTGATTTCAAAACCAAGGACATTATACAAAATAATTATTGGCCAATATTTCCTTCTTTTATTTTCTTCTCTCTCTCTCTCTCTCTCTCTCTCTCTCTCTCTCTCTCTCTCCCTTTCTTTCTCTTCCTTCTTTCCTCCCTCCCTTCCCCCTCCCTCTTTCTTTTTTGAGGAGGCCCTTCCAGTATTTATTTTTCTAAAATACTTAATTTACAAATTTTGTTGTTGTTAATTCTCACTAGAGAATCTTTTTCCATTGATTTTAGAGAGTGTGAAAGAGAGAGAGAGAAACATTGATGTGAGAGAGACACAGTGATCGGTTGCCTCCCACAGGACCCCAATGGGTGCCAGGGATCCAAGCTCTAACCCAGGTATGAGCCCTTGACCAGAATATAACCCACAACCCTTTGGCCCACAGGCCAACACTCCAACAGCTGAGGTAAACCAGCCAGGGATATATATATATATATATATATATATATATATATACACACATATATATATTACAGATGTCTCTCCTTTTTCCCTCTTTGACACCCTCCTCCCCTATTTTTATCTGTAATTGAAAAAAAACAAAAAGAAAAAGTGGTAAGTGGAAAGTTCAGAAATAGAGGAAGGAATCAGGACCAAGTAGATTATTGGCTGCATTGGTAAAACAAACATAGCAGTGTGTACATTAAATGCTAGTTATTAATAGAAAGGTAATGGAATAAGATATAAACATAAAATTTAACCTTGAAGCAGGTTATTTGATTGTCTCATTTGACTGTCCTTTTGGGGATAAAAGCAAAACGTTTTAAATCTGGCTGCAGCTAGGCTTCTGGGTATACATGATGTTCGAGAAATAGAGTATCTAATGTATAATGTTACAGTGAAACCAGAGTCATTGTCCTGCTTTTTTAGCTATTTTTACTGGCCAACAAGGTCATGGTCACAAGCAGTGTCCTCTCCCGCCATTTTGCAGAGACCTTCTCCTCCTGAGACTTGACACACAGTACAGCGGTCACAGTGACTGCTGGACTTCAGACTAGCATCAGTGATGTCCTGGTTGGCGACGGCTCCCCATAAATCAACTAAAAATGTTGGGGAGTCGGTCTGAAAGACTAACAAGAGTTCACACTGAAATGCTACACAATTTTGTAAGCAAATACTTTCCTGTTTTAAATCTATTCCTTCTTAAAATTCCAGTTATTCTTTCCCACAATGTGCTGTAACTGAAAGACTAAGAAACAACACAATAGAATCATGGGAAAGTAGAACAAATTGAAAATAAGGAGGTAGAAACAAACTCCACCTTAATACGTCACCCCAACATGTAACAGGACTTACTTTTGCCAATTTATAAAACAGATGCTCAGATTGGATAAATTGCAATATTCAACTCTATGCTTTTCATAAGATCATACACGAGACGTAGAAAAATAAATCATTAAAATAAAATATATTGAGAAACTAGAGCAGGTAACACTAAAGTGAAACTGAATTGCTGTATCAATAACAGACAAAGCAGATTTGAGCACAAAGAGACATGAAAGTTTGAAGATAACACCAGTGTTAAAAACTGTCAACTTCATTGGAAAGTTGTCAGTCTGCCCTGCACTTAATAAATGTCTTCACCAAATGTCAAATAAAAATCTAGAGACCTTCCAGTAGAATACAGGAAATCCACAATTAGAGTGGGAGATTTCAATCCTTTTTCAATTGTTGAAGAATTAGTACAGAGATTTAAAGATTTGAGCAATCCAATAATTGGGGTTCTCAAATCCTTAATGTTTTTAGGTAAAAATTAAGTACATTTAAGTAAACAATGAATTAAGCCTTTTAAATTAATAATACATTAATTAGAAATTGATTTAAAAATTACTTAGATTTTTTTGGGTTTGTTTTCTGATAATTTGCCTTACTATGTAATGCAGAGGTCAACGCCAACTCCCCACCCCACCCCACCCCACCCCACACATATCTTAGCTTCTCCTGTACCAGAAGCACTGGTTCTAGATCTTAGGTATGATGGGAGCAAGAAGTTCCAGCCTAGAATCACTTCAGATCCCCATGAAAACCATTCATGTGTTCATTTACTGTCACAAAGCCCACTGGAAAGGTGTGGACTAGCGTACAAACCTGTGACTTTGCCCAAGGTGAGGGACCTCACAGCCCTGAACTCCGCTTCCGGGGAGAAGTTGTAACTGAGCCGGAGCTGCTCGTCCATCTGCAGGGAAACAGAGAGCAGGTGCATCAGCACAGCCTGCAGGGCACACTCTGCAAATAGCTCCAGGACACCTGGGGCCGACCCCCTCTGGGGCTGTCCCCAGAGAGGGGAGAAAGGCCGCCCTCCTGCTCCCACAGTGCACGCAAACCCTCCTTTCCTTCCTCTTGGCTTTCAGGCAGGTCCTCTCCCTGGGAGATGCTGTACAGCTTTTACAGCTACTTGTCTCCCACTGAGAGTTCCGCTCCCAGCTCTCTGCTGCCAACAGACCACAAGCAGAGCCCTCTGGGGAACCAGGAGCATGCTGCCAGGGTTAACCTGGAAGGAAAGCAGGCGCTCGCCCCTCCCCCTTCCCCAGGTGTGCTTCCAGCCAGCGCCTTGCCTTTGCTCCATTAACTCTGACCTCCGCTGGCTCACTCAGGTATGGACACCGGGGGTTTTCTTGAGCAAATACCTCAGTTTGACACCCGCTGACCCTGGGGAGGAGAGGCTAGCGGGGTAGTTGCCACTGACATGAACCTCATCTCGCAGGTGTAAGCAAAGGCCACGACTGGGATTCCGGGGACTTTACCGCTAGAATACTTTTTCCAGAACCTTCTGTGGCTCACTCCCTGCTAATTGCAGACCCGTCTTCTTACTATCCCCCTCCTGTTTCCGAGGCAGGGGTTCCCTAGCCAACTCCCGTTCTTCAGTCCAGTCATGTCCTACCCGTTTCTTTCAGACTCTGAATATTTACATGTTATCCCTAAACTCACCTGTAAGAAGAGGAACCTAGGACACCTCTAGCCGGGTGCCTGACGCCGCCTCCTGTGCGGAGCGGCTATAGGACTGATGACCATTTGCCCGGGGCCCACTGCCAGGACCTCCCTTCCTCCCGCACCTGTTTTTCCTGCAGTACTTTCTGCCGTGAGACAAGTCTCTGGCTGTGATGTGTGGTAGGTGATGATATGCTTTATCATCACTAATAAAGCATAAAATTAGACTGTAGTAATTATACAATTATAATTTATAAAATTAAACTGTAGTAATATTTATTATTTATTGAACACTTGTTATATGAAACACGGCACAAAAGCATCTTTCGAAACGTGTTCTTCTCTAGAACATCATTTAACAGACACTGGTGTCCCTGTATCTCAGACCAGGGAGCACATATCATCCAGAAACCCACAACTTGGCCACGGCCACGTGTCGCAGAGCAGTGTCCCTCTGCACGCTGTCCGCCTGCACTGTGCTCCCTGCTTCCTCTCCACACCTCTCTGGGCATTGGAGCGACTTGTGGTCAATTGCTGTGTGTTTTTATTACTAAATTTCTACAAAATTAATTAACAGATGTTTGACTACCTCTAGGGCCTATTCTAAGTGGCCCTCGAGCCACCCTCTCCAGGAAGCGTTCCTGGACACCTTGCTTAGCGTGACTGGTCCCTGTCCCATGGTGCCTCTCTCTCTCTCTCTCTCTCTCTCTCTCTCTCTCTTTCCCTTTCTCTCTCTCCAGTAAACTATTGGCTCTTTGAGAATATGGATATCTTATCACCATCTGTTTCCTAAATGGCCTATTACAAAAACTGGCAAACTAATTCCTAACACAGGTTTGTTGAGTGGTTAAATAAGGATCGTGCATTGATTCCCTTTCTGTCTGTGGGCTATAAAGACAGAGGTCATCACCCCCCGGGATGCTCTGCTGCCCAGGAGGTCCCCATCCCCAGTCTGTTCAGTGCTCAGTATTCAGATTCTTCCTGCGCTCCCTCAGAGTTTTACCTGCCTGGCTACTCTCTGGAACGAACTGCCCCTTCCAGCAGGGGCAGGTGTCTTTCGCCCCAACAATTTGTTGTACAGGGAAGAGGCTGACGTGAGTGGGCGTGTCCTGCTCAGTGGAGGATAGCAGGAGAGCTCTGAGAGGTAACGCTTTAGCTGAGATTCCTCTGGCGTCTGCCCTCCCCTCCTTCCCAGCCTCCACTGGGTCAGCTTCCTATGGGAACGATTCCCTGGACGGTGACAGGCCTGTGCTCCGACGTCACACACAGAGGAGCTAATTGTTCAAGCATGTGAGTCACTCCTATCCTGCTGTTCTGCTCTGTGGGAACTTACCAGGTGACTAATGAAGCAGACAGGGAGTAAATAGCAATTAAAGGTTATTTATTTATTTTTTTTTTTGAAAAATGAGTATTTGTAGAGGTTTAGAGAGGAAGATAGGATGACTCGAAGGAGACTTGAGGCTATTGGTGGGTGATGAGTGGCTGGGAGGTGGTCCAGCCATAACGTGGAAGGAGGGGCCCGGTCACTAATGCTGGGTCAGGTGCTGAGTTACCAATGTGAAATTCAGCAAATGTACAGGGAAAAAGTAGTAAAAAAGGGGGGATACCACAAATATTATTTTTGGCATTAATTATTTTTAGAAAGAGGAAGGAGGGGAGAGAGAGAAACATCGACGTGAGAGAGAAACATGGATGATGCTTGTTTGCCCCCTGCACATGCCCCAACCAGGGTCAACACCTGAAACCTGGGTATGTGCCCTGACCAGGAATTGAGCCCCCCACCTTTGGGGTACCAGGCAATACTCCAACCAACTGGGCCACACTGACCAGAGCAAATGTTTACTTTTAGGACTTGTACATGTGACATGAGCTAGGCTGACACTGAAGTATTCAGTGAGCAAGTACATCACTGTGTTAGATGTGTTTATTTTTACTTTATAGTTTAGTATTTGTTTGTTCTTCATTACAATCGTTGAGGGGATGAAAAGCAACACTGTCCCTCAGGCTTTGGGATGGATTAAGTTTGTCACCTGGCCAAGAAGCTTGGCCAAGCTCAGCATCTGGGATCCAGCTGAAGGGAGCGAGGGAGGAAAAGCCCCGATGCCAGGCTCCGACGTGGCTCCTTAGCTCTCCTTGCGCACGATCTGTGAGCGCTGACCGAGCTTAGTCCATTGGTGCCCTACCTTGTGGATAAGTAAACTGAAGCTTAGAAAGGAGAGCAGCTGGTCCCAGACACACAGAGGAGTGACGAGCCTGGGGCCCGCCCCGGCCTGGCCCACTCTGGGCATGCCTCCCTTGCCTTCGGGAGCTTCACCTTTCGGGGCGTCATTCACTACTGGGTTTCAAAGTGTCTGCCACCTCCTTCCTTGTAGCTCGTGTTTGTGCTGGCATTTTGCAAATGGGCTTCATCTGTTTAATGTCATAAACGCATCTGAAATAGAGGCTTTAAAGTTTGCCGTCCCCACCAAGACATTTCTATGAGCACCTGTGTCTTAAAAAATACCAGTCCCATTACAATTCTCAACGCGTGGCCAGGAGAGCTTGCTTCTGTCTGCAGCCCCAGCCGCGAGGTCCCCTTCCTGTTTCCACTCGGCAGCGACTTCCACGTGGGGAGGGAGGAAAAGAGACTGACAGGGAGGCAGGGGAGTGTTGGGGGCACGAGGGTTATGTTGTGGATTAATAAACTGATTTAAACTTAACAAAGAAAAATGTCTCTGCCTCCAGTTCCTTCCGCTCCCTCCAGAGCTTTGGACACAGCATGCCCTCCACCCCTGTGTTATTGGTGGGAATTCTTTAGAGGGAGAAGAAAAACACCACCTTTTATGATTCTCTCATCACCTTGTCTGTGTCTTTCATTTGTGTAAAAGAATTTAGGAGACACAAAGAAGGAGGAGAAAGGAGGGGTGTGCACCAGAATGCACCCCAGATGCCCTCTCAGGTCCTCAGTCAAAACGTCCCAACAAGGCCTCGTCCTGCCCATCCCTTTCCTCCTTCAACCTGGCCCACACCAAGTTTTCTCTAATATTTTCCTCTTATGTAAGGAGTAAATACCACAGGTAAGCACATTAAATGATAATCAATCAGGGACTGTTATTCGTATTATATATTTGACAATTAATCCCGAATTTGCAAGCGAACAGTCAATCTAGACTTCTCTCATGGCTCGTGTGCACATGCCCATGACCTTGAAAGAACAGAGACCTTTCGCGGCTTCTGGAAAGAAGAGGCCAGAGCAGAAGCACGAGCTACCGAGGGGACACAGTGATAGATGAGCAAGTAGCAAGGGCGCTGGGCCATGGAGATGCCCTCGGGCCACTGCCAGGTCTTTGGCTTTGGACAAAAGAGCACTAATCTTTTCGCAGAATGACTCTGGCTGCTGTGATGACAATAGGCTTCAGAGAAACAAACAAACCAAAAAAAGAAGCAGGGGTCCTCCAGTTAAAAGGCAACTGTCACCTCTAATAAGCACGGAGAGGATGAGTAGCCTGGAGCAGGGTAGAAGCTACTGATCAAGAGGATGTTGCATGTGAGGAAAGGAGAGGAATCAGAGATGACCCGACAGTGACACTGAGCACCTGCAGGAGCAGAGTTGCTGTTCGGTGAGACCTGGGCACTGTGGAGCGTGGCGGGTATTTGGAGGAAGATTCTCAGCAACTCGGATTTAATAGGTCACACTCAAGATGTGTAACAGACACCCACACACCTATGTCCAGCGGGCAGTCACACACATAGGTCTGGAACGTGGGAAAAGGACTGGTGTTAGACATACATTAGGGTTAATTCATCAGCATACACATGGCCTTTAACAAGGTGACAGAGCCCAGCCGGTGTGGCTCAGTGGTTGAGCGTCGACCCTGCACCAAGAGGTCGCTGGTTTGATTCCCGGTCAGGGCACATGCCCAGGTTGTGGGCCCGATCCCCAGTGGGGGGCATGCAGGAGGCAGCCCATCGATGTTCTCTGTCATCAATGTCTCTATCTCCTCTCCTTTTCCCTTGCTTTCTCTCTAGAATCAGTAAAGATTTTTTTTTTTTATTTTTTAAAAAATGTGAGAGACGGTGAGTGAAATTAGCCACAGAATGAGTGCAGATAAAAGAGAGAAAGCTCTGCAGATAGACTGCTGGGAGGTGCCAGTGGTTAGAACTGGAGGTTAAAGGGAGATCAACAGAGTACATTAGAGCCAGGAAGAAACGCAGGTGAAAGCGTGTCCCACAGCCTGACGCAACCATGTCCCAAGAGCAGAGAGCAAGTGCTGTGCCAAATGCGGAGGAGAAGACGCGTAAGAAAAGACCACTGGATTTTGCAAGATAAGGTCAATGGTGTCCAGAGAAATATTATTTTACTGTAGCGCAGGGAGAAAAGCATTGGTGTGAGTTTAAGCAAAAGGAAGAGAAAATTCAGAGACCAAGTATATGAATAATATCTCCATGGATCTGAGCAATACACTGAAGGAGAAAATGGGGAAGTAGATCAAGTCAGATAAAGGGTAAAAGTCTTCCTTTCCTGCCACAGAGGAAGGTGATTAGTTTTGCTGTTATTGTTTGCTATTTCTGTACTATTTGCATGTTTTATACTTTGGGATGCAATCCAACAGAAAAAATGTTAAAAAGAGAAGGGAAGGGAATAATGCTGAAGCGGTATTTTTGAGAGCTGGCCCCCTGTGGTGGGTCGAGCCTTAGCTAGGACCATGACCTCCTCACATTCAACAACAGGACAGAGAGAGCACCAAGACAGAGCAGGGGGTTGGGCAAATATGCTGGTAAGAGTGTGTGGATATTCTCTCATGAATGCAAAAATTTTTTCACAAGAAAGAAGAAAAGAAGTCATCTGCTGAGAGTAAACATGTAGATAAGATTATTGGTTGTGTAAGGAGAAATGAGGAGGCTTCAAATGATCACTGAGATGAAGAAAGCGGAAGTGGCCGCTGACCGCTGGGCAGATTTAACCTCAGGTCGTGACTGGAGAAAACGGTGTGGACTCTGCCAGTTCTCTGTGCTCTGCTGTCACCTCCTACCTGCTCTTACACCGAGACCTCACTGGAGCTGTATGGACTGCCTGCCGCACGCTGTCCTCCCTACACGGCTTTGCCTGTGCTCACAGGGACCTCTGCCTGAGTGCTTGCTCGCTCTTCTCCACCTAGCCGACTGCTCACCACCTTCAAGCTTCAGTTTAGTCCTCACTTCACCCAGAAATTGAATAGGCTGCCCAGCGCCCTCCTCCACGTTCTCATTTCACCAAGGCACACTTCTGTCTTAGCCTTGCCCATCTCTCGTGGTCACCTCTTCACCCACTTGCCTCCCCATTGTACTGAAGTTGAGGAGTTACCAGCTCACACTGGCATCAGGATCACCTGCGGAGTCTCCTGCAAAGAAGTTTCTGATTAATTAGATCTGTTGTGCAGCCTAAGAATTTGCATATCTAACAGGGTCCCTGGAAATGCTAATGCTGGTGGGAAGGGAGCAGCCCTCTGAGAACCATTATTCAATCTTTTCAAAGACTGAGGACAAATGGGGTTCATATCTATCCCTAGAACCTGCTCCACACTGGCTTGGGATTGAAGCTTGGGAAAGTGTTACTGAGCATTCAAGGCATATCTGGTGAATGAAAGAAGGAAAGTAGGTTACCTGAATGGTAAGCTCTCTTCCCTCTCGGTTAATCTTCAAGTGGTGCATCCGTCTATTGGCGAAGTTCTCTACCTCAATGGTGAACACATGGGTTTCTTCCTTGCTCAGCTGATAGTGAACTTGTAAGCTTCCTTGAAAAATAAATGTTAGAAATCAGAATAATAAACAAGACCCATAAAATACAAACATATAATCAGATTGTATTTTAATTGATCATTACTATTCAATTAAATTGAAAATTTAAATTAAATCAAAGGGAATCCATGTTTTAATTCTTTTGTTATTTAAAATTTTTAAAGATATGCTATTATTATAGCATTTGAGTCCACAAAGAAATGTATGGCCCTGGCTGGTTTGGCTCAGTGGTCGGAGTGTTGGCCTGCGGACCAGAGAGTGTTGGGTTCAGTTCCCGCTAGGGGCACACACCAAAAAAAAAAAAAAAAAAGTCTGAATTTTGCTGCAAAATTAAAGTGTGTGTGTGTGTGTGGGGGGGGGGGGGGGCGGGCAGGCAGAGGTTATTAGAATCCATAATACCAGTTTGTAAAATAAAACAACCACAAGTTTATTTTGTAATTTAATTGTGAAAACTTTAATAAAATACAACCTTTTCCACTTCTTTCTTTAATTTCTACCATATCTTATAACACTTTTCTTTCCTAATTGCCTTCATGAAATGTCAGAATATATAATGTGAAATAACCTAAGGCAGAAGAAAATAAAATAATTGTGGGTTATGAGGTCATTACCTAACACTTAGCTAAGAGGAGAAACTCCCTATATCCAATCCTGGTCTTCCTGTTTTGTTCTCTCCTTTTGGTTCTGACCACCCAAAATTTCAAAATATTAATATTTTTGGTTATTTTATCACTTAAGTAACAAGAGCTCCCTGTCAGTGGTATCTTTGGTGCTGATAGGAGCTGGAGAGTGTGTGCAGATGGACAGACATTAGGCAAAGGGACCCTGGCTGCCCATGTGAGAAAAAGCTTCGAGATCCAGCTTGTGCACTAGCTGCTGTTGGGCGGCATGCTTTCTCAGCCTCCTTCTAATTCTAAGAATCTGGGTGTTTTAATATTTAATTCAACCAAATGAACATAATCAGCATGTGCTAATTATGTATCAGGCATAACGATAAGTACCACATTCCTCGAGGATATTTGGAGTTTTTTACCATCCTACACTGTGGCTTACTCATACACATATTCATATTCTGTATGTACTTGTCCATTTTAGAAATCACTTCCATTTTAAACATCTTTTCTAACACCTGCCTCACAACCACTCATTTCAGATGTCAATAATCTCAACAAGGACCCTGTTAAAGATTCTGAAGCTTTCTTCACATCCAAGTTTATGTCAAAAACACCTCTACTAAGCAAATAAGTATATAAATCAAATATTAACAGGCATAAAGAGAGATATTGACAGTAATACAATAATAGTAGGGTATTTTAAACACCACTCACATCAATGAATAGATCATCCAGACAGAATATCAACAAGGAAACAGTGGCCTTAGAAACATATTAGAGAAGATGGACTTAACACATAGCTACAGAACATAATACCCTTAATCAGCAGAATGCACATTTTTTTCAAGTGTATCTGCAACATTTTACAGAATTAACTACATGTTAGGCCAGGAAACAAGTCTCAGTAATTTTAAAAAATATTGAAATCATATCATGTATCTTCATTATCAATGGTAAAAATCTAGAAATCAATTACAAGAAGAAAATTGAAAAAAACAAAACACAAACACAAGGAGGCCAATCAACATGCTAGTAAACAATCAATGGGTTAATAAAGTAATCAAGCAGAAATAAAACAAAATATTTTAAGACCAATAAAAATGGAAACACAATAATCCAAAATCTATGGGACACAGCAAAAGCAATTAAAAGAGGAAAATTCATAGTGCTGCGGGCCTACATCAAGAAACAAGAAAATTTCAAGTAAATAATCTAAATTTTCACTTAAAAGAACTAGAAAATGAAGAACAACCAAAGTCCAAAATGAGTAGAGGGAAGGAAATATGGTTAGAGTAGAAATAAATGAAATAGGGATCAAAAAACAATAGAAAAGATAAACAAAACTAAGAGCTGGTTTTAAAAAAACATAAACAAATAGATAAACCTCTAGCCAGTATTATCAAGGAAATAAAGATATATAGAGAGAGATGGCCCAAATAAAATCAGAAATGAATAAGAAAAAAATAACTGACGACACAGAAATATAAAGTATTGTAAGAGAATACTATCCACAAGTATACATCAACAAATTGGACAAGAAGAAAGGAATAATATCCTAGAAACATGTAATCTTCTAAGACTGAATAAGGAAGAAACAGAAAACCTGAACTGACCAAATACTATAAAAAGAAAAATGAATCAGTTATCAAAAAAACAAAGTTATTTACAATAACTAAGATCTAGAAACAGCCAAAGTGCCTATCAATAGATGCATGGATAAAAAAGCTGTGGTACATATACACAATGGAATGCTATGGGGCTGTAAAAAAAGAAGGATCTGTTACCCTTTGCACAACACAGATGGCCCTGGAGATAATTGTGCTAAGTGAAATAAGGCAGTTAGAGAAAGTCAAATATCACATGATCTCACTTATATGGGAAATTTAATGAACAAAATAAACTGATGAACAAAATAGGTCGAGAGGCATGGCTGCATGGAACAGACCGAGAGAGCTCAGAGAGGTGGGGGTGGGAATGGGGACAGAAAGAGATTAATCAAAGAATGTATATGCATATATGCATAGCCCATGGACACAGACAATAGCCTAGTGAAGACTTGGGGTGGGTCAGGGGCTAAGTGAAGGGGCAAAGTTAGGGGGAAAAGGGGGATATTTGTAATGCTGTCAAAAATGAAAAATAAACTAAAAAATAAAAATAAGTAAATAAAACCACACAACAAATAAAAGTCTAAGACCGGACTGATTCACAGGGGAATTAAACCACACATTTGAAAAGAGTTAATTGCTAACCCTCTCAAATTATTTTTTAAAAATATGAAGAAGGAAAACTTTAAACTCACTCTGTGAGGTCAATGTTACCCTGATACCAAACGAGACAAAGAAACTACAAAAATAGAGAATTATAGGCCAATATCCCTCATTGAGAAAGAAGCAAACATTCTCAACAAAAAATTAGCAACTTAAATACATCAATACATTAAAGTGACCTTGCAGCTTGATTAAGTGAGATTTATTCCAGGAATTATAGATGCTCAATATCTGCAAAGTAATCAATGTGATATACCATATAAACAGAACAAAGGTGAAAAATCATGACCATCTCGAGAGATTCAGAAAAGCATTCACCAACATTCAACATTCTTTTCACAAATTTTAGGATTACTTGTTCTAGTTCTGTGAAATTTTCATTTATATTTTAATAAATATTGTGTTGAATTGGTAGACTGCTTTGAGTAGTGTGAACATTTTAACAATGTTAATTCTTTGAGCACATACATGAGCACAGTAAAACTTTTCATTAATCTGTGTCTTGTTCACTTTCTTTCATCAATGTCTTATAGTTTCCAGAGCACAAGTCTTTTACTCCTTGGTTAAATTTATTCCTAGGTATTTTATTGTTTTGATTAAATTGTAAATGAGATTGTTTTCTTAATTTCTCTTACTAATAACTCACTATTTTTGTACAGAAAACAGCATAATTCTGAATATTAATTTTGCATCCCATAACTCAACAAAATGGATATAGAAGAGACATATCTCAACATACAAAAGTCCACATATGACAAACCCACAGATAACATAATACTCAATGGTAAAAATCTGAAAGATCAGGAACAAAATAAGCATGCTTACTCTCAGTACTCTTATTCAACATAGTATTGGAAATCATAGCCAAGGCAATCAGACAAGGAAAAAAAAAAAAAGATTTAAGTAGGAAATAAAGAAGTGAAATCCTCACTATATGCAGATGGAATGAAACTATATATGGAAAATCCTAAACATTTCAATAAAAATTATTAGAACCTATAATTGAATAAAGTCAAGTTATAGAATGCAAAATTAATATTTAGACTTCTATTGTTTTCTATACAAAAATAATGAGTTATTAGTAAGAGAAATTTAGAAAACAATCCCAGCCTGGCCAGTGTGGCTCAATGGTTGAGCATTGACCCATGTACCGAGAGGTCACTTGTTCTATTCCCAGTCAGGGCATATGCCCAGGTTGTGAGCAAATTCCCAGTGGTGGGCATGCTGGAGGTAGTCAGTCAATGTTCTCTCTCATTGGTGTCTCTCTCTCTCTCTCTCTCCCTTTCTCTCTCTATAAAATCAATAAAGAAAAGAAAAGAATTCCATTTACAATTTAATCAAAACAATAAAAATACCTAGGAATAAATTTAACCAAGGAGTAAAAGACTTGTGCTCTGGAAACTATAAGGCATTGATGAAATAAAGTGAACAAGACACAGATAAATGAAAAGCTATACTGTGTTCATGTACTTGAAGAATTAACATTGTTAAAATGTCCATACTACTCAAAGCAATCTACCAAGTCAACGCAATAACTATTAAAATATCAATGGTATTTTTCACAGAACTACAAGTAGTCCTAAAATGTATATGGAACCACAAAGACTCAGGTTACCCAGAGACATCTTGAGATAAAAGAACAAAGTTGGAGTTATCACAATCCCTGATTTCAAACTGTATTACAAGGGTATAGAAATCAAATCAGTGTGACATTGGTACAAAAACAGACACATTGATCAATGGAGCAGAATAGGCATCCCAGAAATAATCCCAAGATTATATGGTCAACTAATCTATGACAAAGGAGGCAAGAATATACAATGAGGAAAAGACGGTCTCTTCAACAAATGGGGTTGTGAAAACTAGACAGACATATACAAAAAAAGAAAGAAGAGAGAAAGAGAAAGAAAGAAAGAAAGAAAGAAAGAAAGAAAGAAAGAAGGAAGGAAGGAAGGAAGGAAGGAAGGGAGGGAGGGAGGGAGGGAGGGAGGGAGGGAGGGAGGGAGGGAGGGAGGAAGGAAGGGAGGAAAGAAACTAGACCATTTTCTTATACTATATACAAAATAAACTAGAAATGAATGACAGACATAAATGTAATACATGAAACCATACAAC